CTCTCTCGCACACACACACACATGTGCCCACATCCATCCATCCCTCCATCCAGGCATGCATACAATCATACATACATACGTACATACATACGTACATACATAAATATATACATAAATATATACATACATACATACATACATACATACATACATACATACTTACATACATACATACATACTTACATACATACATACATACATACACTTCATACATTACATGCAAGCCACACACACAGACACCCACGCACTAAGGCTTCGGGTTAAGAGGCAAAAGGCTTTTTGATACAAGGTCAAGCATTCAGCTAGCCTGTGTTTGGACTGTCTTTTGTCTGTGGTTGCAGCAGACTTGAGGTGTTCATAATGTTTTTGGTGAGCTCGAAGAGGAAGGAAATCGGAAAGTCTGTGTGTAAGATGTACCTCAACAGCGGGGAAGCTATGGATGCGTCTTGCCGGCCTCCCACGAAGCCGATGGTCAAAAAGGGCGCTTCGATCCTGGCTGACCTGTCATCGCTTTTGACTGCTGTCCTACTCCTTTCCCCAGAGAGCCCAATACCCTGTAATTAAGGAATATACCTTAAATTATAGGGGCCTTAATATTATGATTTAAGGTATATTCCTTATGAGACTCGGTGAACCTTGGCCTCTCCATCCACTTGTACCCACACCCCTGTTCCGTGCTCCGGGCCTCAGGAGGCCAAGAGTCAGCGAGTGCATCTCCACCGTGCGGGCCGAGGTGTCCGTCCAGTCGAAGAAAGACCTGGGAAACGACTTGAGAGGGCTTTGTTTGTCAGCTGTGGCTTTGGGACACCGCTGCTCAACAGTCGTAGCATGTTGTAGTCATTGTTTGAGTCTTCGTCGCACGACTATTTGAGTAGGCGTTGAAAGGCAATGAGGGTGTCCTCGAGACAGAAAGTGGTTTCAAGGTGATGCACAGGTAGCGACTAGAGGTGAAGAAACCGAAACAAAGTTGAGGATGAAGTCGTATTGGAAGATGAAGTCAGAGGCGCGAAAAGGCGAACACAGATTTTGTCCAATGAGTTTCAACTCTGTCTGCTAACAAGGAAAGTCTGGGCTTCTTATTGATTCTTAGTGCTAGATTGAGTAGTAGCCATCCAAGTCAGTGTCGTTAGGATGAGAACGAACAAGTTGGAAAAGTGGGTGTATAAAATGACTCTGCATGATTGTGGTGATCTTTGAAAGTTGTAAAGAAGATGTAGGGCTTCATTCCCAAATGTCAATCCTAATTCAGTCTTGTCATTGTTAACCAGGGAGAATGGAAAGGAGGAGGAGGAGGAGCAACAAGAAGAGACAGGTTGGATAATTGTGGAAAAAAAGTTGGAACTGTCATTCTTGGCATATGTTTAATTCTATTCTAGTTTACACATACCTGTTTCTTTTGAGTGCCGCGTCGCCTGTATTTCGCATACATCGATGCATTTTCTGTGCCGTAAGCTCTTTCACGTGACATGACACTATTTCACCGTGTCAGCCAGGCAGTCAGCAAGAATACAGGACGAGATGATCTCAACATCGTCCGCTACCGAGGCCGCCGGCTCGCCAAATTGCACGAAGACAAGCTTTCGCAGATTCGCGGCGACCCTCAGCGAACAGTGGTCTACCAAGCGACGAAAAAGATGCAAAGCCATGCACCCAATAGGGCTCCCTGGCTACCGTCCCTGGCTACCGTCCCATTCTCATTCTGGGCGGTGGACACTCCTCCGATGGTGTGCTGGACGTTCATCACGGTCGCGGACTGGGCACGTCAGAACAGCGAAGAACAAGGAAGCCCGACAGCCTGTCGAGAGCCCGAAAAGGGCTACTGAGGCGGCGGCATAGTTCATCCCATGGTCCTGCGTCGTCATGAACACCATCATGTGCTCATTCCTGGCGGGCTGCTGACGGTGAGGCACTTCTGGATACAGGCCCCTGTGAATGTGCGAGAGAAGGTGCCTCTCGGATGCGTCATTCGACCGCAGACCCACAGCAGTCGGCACGGCGTTGTGCTTGTAACCTTGAGAACCGCATCTCGGCTTGTTTCGGTATGGCGAGTTGGTGGAATTTCAGAGGCCTTTGCGTTCAGAGCATGTGCCTCGTGTCGAATTAATTGAGCTGGCTGGGGCTCTCACCGGTTCGGAGAGTGAGGATGTCATACTGCCCGCGTGCCCTCGGATCGGCCACATAGGGCAGGGGAAATTTGAAGACTCTACGATGACAGATCGCCAAGTCCGAGTATGGGCGTTACACCTCTCCGGACCTTTCGACACTCGGCCCCCTAAACCCTAAACCCTAAACCCTAAACCCCTAAACCCTAAACCCTAAACCCCTAAACCGGGCACCCTGCTGCTTGTTGCCAATGTTGCGGTCCTTTGTCGGCTGCCACACCACAGTGTAGCAGTAGCCAGCCTAGGTCCCCAAGGCTCCAACAGTATCAACTTCGAAGAACCCAGAGACTCCAATATCCCTTAATTAAGGAATATACCTTAAATCATATTAGGGGTCCTACTATAACTTAAGGAATATTCCTGAATTAAGGGATATTGGAGTCTCTGGGAATTCACAACACGCCACACTGCCCAAGATCGGGGTCGGGACAATGGGATTCCGCCACCCGAACTTGCCACGATCCAGCCTCAAGTCGAAGTGCAAAGTGCAGGGCGGCAAGATGCCCGGAAAACCAGGCAGTCAGAGAGCGGGCGAGAGGACAGGACGAACTAGACAGGAGAGGAAATCAGCATTCCTGCCATGGACTAGGCTGCAGGCTGCTTGCTGTCTGGCACTGCTTCTTCCAGCCTGTACAAATTCACAGTGACACAAGAAGGGCATTGGCTGCCTTGTGCCGCGATTGGAAATGCATGCTCATGTGTGAAGATCCACCCATTCTGCCACTCGGCACCCAGAGAACCCAATACCCTAATTAAGGAATATACCTTAAATCATAATATTAGGGCCCCTATAATTTAAGGTATATTCCTTAATTAAGGGGTATTGGGTTCTCTGGGCAGACTGTTGCAAGGCTGTCGTGTAAACTCGGTCTCACAAAAGCTGCAGATCGGAAGTTCCTACGGTTCGTCGTATCATGATGCTTACTTCTGGCATAAAGTAAACATTGTTGTGTTCTCGAAGAATCTTCTTTAGAATGATAGTGAGTAATATCGATAGTAATAGCAGTAGTAGTAGTAGTAGTAGTAGTAGTAGTAGTAGTGGTAGTAGTAGTAGTAGTAGTAGTAGCAGCAGCAGCAGTAGCAGAAGCAGCAGCAGGGGGGATGGGACTGGGAGTAGAAGTACGACTGTGGCTGCGACCACGGCTTCGACGACGACGAGGGCTACCACGGTACTACTACTATTGCTGCTACTAGCACAGGCAATGTCCCTGGTACTGGTGCTTCAACTAAGGCAGCTAGTACTAGTACGAGGATTAGTACTAGTACTAGCACCAGTACCAGTACAGTGGCAGTAGTCATCGTTGGTGGTGGTAGTGCTGCTGCTGCTGCTGCAGCTGCTGGTGTAGTGGTGGCGGTATAGTGGTGGTGGCGTATTGGTGGTTGATTGTGCAGCGGTGATCGTGTAGTGGTGGTTAGTAGTGATGGTGGTGTAATGGTGGTAGTAGTGGTGGTAGTGGTGGTGGTAATAATCGGGGGGGTAGTAGTCTTGTTTGTAGAAATAGTAGTAGTAGTAGTAGTAGTAGTAGTAGTAGTACTACTACTACTACTACTACTGCTGCTACTACTACTGCTAGTGCTAGTGTTAGTGCCCGTGCTAGTGCTAGTGCTAGTGCTGGTGCTAGTGCTAGTGCTAGCGCTAGCGCTAGCGCTAGTGCTAGTGCTAGTGCCAGTGCCAGTGCTAGTGCATGTGCTAGTGCTACTGCTGCTGCTGCTGCTGCTACTACTACCACTCCTTTACTGCGACTGGTACTGTTATTGTTGGTGCTGTTGTTACTCTTACTATCACAAATACAGTTACTTTCACTTTTACTACTCGTATTTCTAATACTATTATCAGTGCTATATTATACGAGACTTTCCCATACTGAACCATAGACCCCATATCATTGCTTGCAGAACGCCGCAAGCCTCGACATCATCGATACGCCCTCCACAAAGCCGGCGCCAGGCGGGGCAGGGTTTAGGGTGTATGGTGGTGCCTGGGCATCCCACGAATCATGACATGGGGCTTTGGAAGTAATTGTTATCAGTGAACTGCTACCTGAGGTTGTAATTAATTACATGTAACAAGTCTGTCACCTGGTTACTTAATCCCATGATCCTGTTCTCTAGGGCATAGAGGGCTAGTATCGCAAGTATATAGTTGCTTTATTGATAACCCTGTGCTCCCCAAGCAGGCATCACAGGGTTGATGTTATAAACCCTGCATTACCCACAACAAGGAATAGACCAAAATTCCCATAGCTCAGGGTCCTTGAGTCCATAAGATATTGCAGGTTTTCTGATCATCAAACGTATGAATCCTAGATCCTTTTAAACCCTAAACCTTAAATCCTAAACCCTAAACCCTAAACGCTAATCCCTAAACCCCAAACTTTATAAACCCTAATCCCTAAACCCTAAACCCTACTCTCTAAACCCTAAACCCTGAACCCTGAACCCTGAACCCTAAACCCTAAACCCTAAAAAGAAACCTTGGCCCTTCATCATGTCAGCAAGGCTTTTGAGGGAGTCCTGTAAGGTTTCCTTTAAAGACAGCAGGGAATTTGCAACTCTAAAAGTCCTTTATGGGAACGCTTTCGGGTTGGGGTTTAGTGGTTTAGGTGTTTAGGGGTTTAGGGTTTAGGGCTTTAGGGCTTTAGGGTTTTAGGGTGTAAGGTTGTGGGTTTTAGGGTTTAGGGGCTAAAAAACCTTTGACGTATTCTGGCGCCCTTGAAGTTACTACGTCCCGTGCTCCTTTAAGCACGCATCCTTCAAGGATCCCACTCGGGTTACTAAGCCCCACGAATCAACACCCTACGTCTAAAGCCCCCTAAACCCTAAACCCTAAACCCCTGAACCCTAAACCCCAAACCCCAAACCCTAAACCCTAATCCCCTGAACCCGTAACCCCAAGCCCCAAACCCCAAACTCTAAACCCTTGAACCCTTAACCCTAAACCCTAAACCCCTGAACCCTAAATGCTAAACCCTACACCCCTGAACCGAACCCTGGACCCTACCCTAAACCCTCGACCCTAAACCCCTGAACTCTAAACCCTAAACGCAGGCGTCGAGCATCACGAGCTGCACTTCGACTGCCTGGCCAAAGACAGGGAGGATTGGTCCGAGACGCAGTGGAGCTGGCCCGAGTTATAGGGTTTAGGGTTCAGGGTTTAGGGTTTTGGGTTTTGGGACCAGTTACAGGGGTTTCTAGGGTTTAGGGACCATTTAGGGGGTTTTTAGGGTTTAGGGACCATTTAGGGGGTTTTTAGGGTTTAGGGACCATTTGGGGGGTTTAGGGTTTAGAGACCATTTGTGGGTTTAGGGATTTCAGGGACTATTTGGGGGTTTAGGGTTTAGGAAGCATTTGGGGGTTTAGGGTTGAGGGACCATTTGGGGGGTTTAGGGTTTAGGGACCATTTAGGGGTTTAGGGTTTAGGGACCATTTAGGGGTTTAGGGTTTAGGGACCATTTGGGGGTTTAGGGTTTAGGGACCATTTGGGGGTTTAGGGTTAGGGACCATTTGGGGGTTTAGGGTTTAGGGACCATTTGGGGGTTTAGGGTTTAGGGACCATTTCGGGGTTTAGGGTTTAGGGCCCATTTGGGGGTTTAAGGGTTTCAAGGACTATTTAGGGATTTCGGGGTCGGGGTTTAGGGTTTAGAGGTGTAAACCACAGTATCCTCCGCACTCTAAGAAACATTTACAAGCAAATCAAATCATCCAGCTTTTTGTTGTTATGTTAACTAGAATTCCGTTTTCCTAGGAGCTGCCGTTCGCGGATAAAGAGCTATTGCGTCCACACCCGAACGCGGCTGCAGCGTCGTGCGACTCTAGCGGAGGATACTGTATTGCCCTAAATCCTGAACCCTCTATATCCTACATAAACCCTAAACCTGCAAACCCTAAACCCTAAACCCTATAATTCTAGACCCCAAACGGGAGTCAGGGCCGTCAGGGATGCTTTCAGCTGCAGAGAGAAAGGGGCCTTGGGGAGTGAAGGATGGGCTTCTGAAGCAAGGTCCCAGAGAGCCCAATAGGTTTTAGGTTTTTGGATTTTAGGGTTTTGGGTTTAGGGTAGCCCAATACGCCTTGATTAAGGAATATACCCTTAGCTATAAGGGCCTTAGAAATATTTGTGTGGAATGTATATTCTTCACCATCCCTTTGGCACCCAACGTCGCTCCACCGGGATTCTGCCGTATATTCTTCACTTGTATAAGGCGTATGGGGCTTCTGAAGTAAGGTCGTCTTCAGGATTGAGATGGCTGTGGATTTAAGGTTAACGATTGGGGTGTCAGGTTGAAATGTTTGCAGAGGTTTAGGCTTTCGATCTGTATGGGTTTCAGGGTTAAAGAGTTTCGGGTTTAGAGATAAGCCTGCCTCAGTTCAAGAACCTTTTCTGGGCCTGGGTACTCAGGCTTTTAACCTTTAGAGTTTTGAAGGCAGCCCTTGCAAGCGAGCCAGGAAGCGTTGGTGCTGCTCGAAGTGGGGTCTCTACTGCGAGGAGCTCCTTTGAAGGGTTGAGGTGTGGGGATGCAGGTGTTCCGGGCAGAGGGTCATGAAAGCCTTAGATGTGGGCAAGACAACTATAACACACGGAAGTTGACCAGAGGTTAAGACCGATGAGCAATTTCTTTGGGCAAGTTGGGGCCCTAAACCCTAAATTCCGTTCTTGTCGACTGACTGAGGGGCGGTATCTGTGGGGCAAATCAAGCGAAGAGGGAAACTGTTGCCTCACCAGCAACAGATGTTCTGGTTTGCAGCATCACACGCAGAGTTTACCAGTGGTATACTGAAAACCTTAGCAACAGAGTAGATAGTATAGGGAAGTACAGTATCATGGAGTATCGTTCAGTATAGTATAGTGTCGAACGGTATAGTGTACTATAATACAGTATCGTGAAGTATCGTATCGTATAGTACAGTATATGATCGTAAAGTGTAGCGTAGTCTTGTTTAGACTATAGTATAGTAGACTATACATTATGGTGTAGTGCAGTACAGTACAGTACAGTATAGTATATAATATAATATAGTACTGTATAGTGTAGTCTAGTATAGTATACTAGTTTATACTTTAGCATACTAAAGTATACTATAGTATACTATAGCGTACTATAGTAAACTATAGTATACCATAGTATAGTCTGATATACTCTAGTATATGAGCAAACAAGAAGTTTGACGATACGGATTGTGCGTCTCCGGAGACTGGTGCTGCCTCTACGCTTGAGGACTTGAATGTCTAGCCGAGTTTTCCCAGCATCAACCATCGCAAGGAGCCTAAAGAACGTGAAGTGGTACCATTGCCCGCAGCACCGCCCGTGGAGTAGGGACCTGAGTCTGTTTCCGGGTAATATTCAAGAATTCTACCCGGAACAGAAGGGAGCATGCAAGGCATGGGAGAAAGCATCTCCGCTCCGCTCCTTGCATGTGCCTGTTGGCCTCGTTGTTGCAACTTGCTTTGGCTATGAGCAATTTGGTTTCGTTCGAACCCAGAGCCTTAGTACTTGGAATAATGAATAGGGGTCGGGGGTATGTTATACTACATGTACAATTCGGAACCACCGACATTTAAAATAGTATAGAGGCCTAGTAAACATTGGGTGACCTTCTGCGGTAAGGCTCAGGTGAACCACGGAACTCATTGCCAGGGGATGCCTTCGGGATCACCACAAGAGCACGACACTTGTAAAATCAGGGCCTGAAATGATGTAACTGAGAAAGGCCCTAAAAACCTAAACCCTAAACCCCAAACTCTACAGCAACATGGGGCCTCCAAGCCCTATGCCCTAAACCCAAATTCCGCATACCACAAAATGCAGCATAAATCAAAGACGTAGGAAACAAAACCATCTCAGAAAAGATAGCCAAAAACTTTTGGCCCTTAGACCCTGAAGCCTCTAACATTTAACCCCTAAATACTAAACCCAACACAGGAGCAAAGAAACATCATAATTTATTGTTCAAGCAAGTCCGTGGCCCCTTACTGACAACCCGGTACAACGATTTAAAACCCTTTCAAAACATGCTTATAGCCCAAACCCTACCCCTAAGCCCTAAACCCTAAACTGCATACCGCTTAAAGGCCACTATGAAAGAAACCCGTTCCTGCAGGAGCTGGGAGCTTTCAACTGCTCCAGTGGGTTCGGGGACCCATGTGGTTTAGGGTTTAGGGTTCAGGGTTTAGGGTTCAGGGTTTAGGGTTTAGGGTTCAGGGTTTTGGGTTTAGGGTTCCGGGTGTAGGGTTTTGCATAAGGGCCCTTCCAAGGGGTTCTATAGGGGGTTTGCTCTACAAGGGGCTCTGTCAGAGCATTTCTAACTTCTGTCAGATTTTTATGATGTACAGGGTGTTGTAAGACTTCTAACTACAAGGAGCTGTGCATGCGTTCCATAGTTCAAGGGCACCTAGAAGTTCTAGAAGGGTTTACAACAGTAGGGGTTTTATCAGGTGCTGGGGGGGGGTTACATGTTTAAGGTTTGGGGCTTCAGTCCTGCCAGGTACTGATGACGATTTAAGTCCTGCACTACCTTAAGGACCCTACACTATGGTAATCATGGCATATTCCGTGCTATGGATATTGCAGGATTTATGTATCATCAGCCGTATGTCGGATTTTTCGGTCTCCAGGGATGTAGACTCTGAGTTGTGGGGATTCGTATCTACAGGGTTTTGGGGTACCACACTTTATTGTTGTGGGGTGTGTGTGTGTGTGTGTTCGACCTGTTCATTAAAAGTGACCATTGTGAAAAAGTGCTTAGAGTTTTTTCTGCCTGGTTACTTCAAAGCCGAGGTAGCGTCTAGGAGTTCAGGGGCGCAAAGTTTGGGGGTTTAGGGGTTTGGCTTCAAGGTTAGCGTTTGGCGTGTCTCTTGTGAGAACACGCAGTTTGAGGAAGTCTAGGCCCAGAGAGGAAAATGAGGTGAGAATGACTACTGGCGCCAGTCCCATGGACGAGTCACTAACAAGGTTTGGGGGCCCTAAGTCCTAATTAAACCCGGACCCTAAACCCTAGACCCCTAAACCTGCCAAGGAATATCCCTCAACACTAAACTAAGCCCTGAGCCTAGGTCCTGAATCCGAAAGTCAAGCCCTAAACTCACGTGTAGACCCATTGATTCCTTGATGAATCACGCCCCTGCTTTTTTGAGGGTGATGTAAGTAGAAAAGGGACACAGAAAACGTTGCCACAAACCCTAAGCCTGAAACTTAAAAGTTCCAAGTAACCTAAAGCCCTAAGCCTTAAACTTGAAGCTAAGCCTTACGCTTAACACCCTAAGCCTTAAACTAAAAGCCCAAACCCTGAACCCCTAAACCCTAAACCCCTAAAGCCCTGAACCCTAAACCCTTAACCCTTAACCCTAAACCCCAAACACTTAAACCTTAAGTTGGGGCTGAGGTTCTGGAACTGGAGGAAGGGATGGTCCTCGCACAAGAAGGCAGACTTTCCTTGGCCTTCTTTCCGGGATCCTGCCCCGCACGTCACCTTTTGTTGGGTTTATGTGTCCGTTTAGGGTTTAGGTATATACTAAGGTTACTATTAGAGTTTTTTTGTTATAGCGGCCTTAATAGTTAGAATAGGGTTTCGGGTATACAATGCTATAGCCGGTTAGGCTGAGTAGGTAACCTTCAACTTTTTTGGATTATACAATCCAACCATAGCCTAACAGGTTAAGCGCTTTTTGCCAGGGTACTCAGCCCCTAAGGTTTGGTCAAGTAGGGTATGATAGGACTTTTCTTTGCAAGGACCGGTCTCTTAATGCTAGTTACTGGGGTCTTGTTGAAAAAGTGTTTCAGCGTCGGATTTCAAAAGGAGCTGTTGCTAGGTCACCCGGTAGTGCCATTTTGCCCTTGGTGTTTTAGGGTCTCCTGGTCTCCTTGCTAAACCCGAATGGTAGGGAAGAAGGGTACCCTCACTGTGAAGTGGCTACTGGGGAACCTACGCTTGATGACATAAATCCTGCATTACCCATAATAGGGAATATACCACAATTCCCATGGCTTAGCTTCCTTAAGGTAATGCAGGATTTATATCATCAACAGTAGTTTGGATCCTTACAAGTTTTCGGGGCTTTCACGTTCAGGGTGAAGGCTCAGGGGCTGAGGGTTCAGTGCTTAAGACCCCTTAATACCGGAACAGACTTTAAACACTAGGACATAATATTTTGATTTAAGCTACACTTCTTAATTCAGTAGTATTGAGCCCTCTGGGCATGGGTTCAGCGGGGCAGGCGCTTGCGGTATGGGGTTTAGGGCTTTCTCCTTGTCGGAAAGGGATCTTTCTGTTGCGCTTGCTGTCTGGCCCTTTGGTTGGGAGGTTGGGTTTAGGGTTAGATCCTAAACCTTGAACCCTGAACCCTTAACCCGGAACCCTAAAGCTAAACCCTGAACCCTAAACCCTAAACCCTGAGCCCTAAACCCTGAGCCCTAAACCCTGAACCCTAAACCCTAAACCCTGAGCGCTAAACCCTAAGCCCT